TTAAAAGCTGTTAATGTTGCGAAGGCTTCTGATCAATCTACCACATTGATTAGCCTGCTTCACTTTCAAGTGCAGTTTATGTACTGTGCAGCTGTTGGGGCAGTGTTTGATATATAGTTTTCCTCATTTTTCAGAGCTTCATTCTTCAGCTAATAGTAAGGATTGTTAAGAGGAGCATATAGGGTGATTTATGGAGCAGGGTGTGAGCAGCACTGAAGTACACCAACTCATACAGAGGCAGAAGATATTGTGTCACCAGACTGTTGATGAAGTTTGTGAGGTATTCCCTGAGTTCTTTAAACTAAGATTACTTCTTATTTTCTCTAATAACTCCTTTATTTCCATCAAAGACTTCTGGAAGTGAAAGAAGCCTTGTCTTGATTTTCTTCCTCTTTGGCTTCTGTTTCAGAGCTCTGAAACTGGGCTAGGAACTTATTTATGTTCTTTGCTGTGCCTGCCAGACTACTTTTCAGAAGACTTAAAAACTTGGAAACATTTCTGAAATATGATCATTATCTCATCTTTAACCAACATCTTTTTTTTTATTTTTATTTCATGATCATTTTAATGATTATCAGCCACAATGTCTATTATTGTGAGAATTATGAAACAAATTTTGGCATATCCAAATATAAAATGCCATGCAATCTATAAAAGGATGACGTACACGCACATGTAAGCACATTAAAAGATCTCAGAGTCATGTTTCTGAGAGAAAACCACAAGTTATATAAAATTAAATATTATACTCATAATATTAATCAACTTAAAGAAGTCCTTCTACATAAAACTCTGCTAAATATATATATATATATATATATATATATATATATATATATATATAATTTTTTTAAAGGCCTGATGCACGAAATTTGTGCAAAAAATAGGCCTTCCTTCTCCCAGCTGCTGGCATGAGCTTGCTTCCCTCTAGCATCTGGGATCTGGGCTTCCCTTGCAACCCCAGTTTCATCCAGAAGGTTGTCTAGAAGGACATCCGGTCTAATTAACATATTATGCTTTTATATATACATACATATGTGTGTGTGTGTATATGTATGTATGTATATGTATATATATGTATATATATCCACATATACATAAATATAAAGCAAGGACACATATTTCGATATATATTATACAAAGGTTTTAAGATAAATATGTACATATACATGTATACATATAAGGAAAATCTTTTTCGGAACACAGGGGTGGGCCGGGCCACTCGCAAGTGAAATACTTCTTCGGACTTTCTCTCTCCCTCCCTCCCCTTCCCTCCCTCACTCCAGGAAGGACATAACAAAAACATTTAAAAATATATATATATTTTATTGATTTTTTTTTTGCCCCCCTCCCTCCCTCACACACATCCCCTCCCTCTCCAGAGTTTTGTGTCCATTGGTTGTACTTATATGCATTTTAACCAACATCTTTAGCAACTGGTTGATACATATTCTACGGACTCCATGTTCTTTTGTGCACGTGCACATTTTAGGTCACTGATCTACCAACAAAGGGGGTATTTAGGAAAAGGTATGAACCCATGAAGATGTCTAAAAAACAGGAAGTAATTTGTATGACAAACATGCAGTTTTCTAGTAACGATGTGGATTGTTTAAAATCTGCTTATTGAGCCCTGACCAGTGTGACTCAGTTGGTTGGAGTGTTGTCCTGTGCACCAAAAGGCAGAAGGTTTAATTCTGATCAGGGCACATACCCAAGTTGCGGTTCCATCACCGTCAATATGAATGTGGGAGGCAACAATAGATGTCTCTCTCTCTCCCTCTTCTTCCCTTTCCTCTCTCTAAAAATCAGTTTTTTAGAAAAGTAAAATGTTCTCTTTGATTATTAATTCAACCTAGTTTTCTAAAGCTTCTTTTCTTTGTACCTTCTAAAGCAAGAGTGGGGAACCTTTTTTCTGCCAAGAGCCATTTGGATATTTGTACATCATTTGCAGGCCATACAAAATTATCAACTTAAAAATTAGCCTGCTATATGTGGTCAAACATTTAATTAACTCACCCCTAATGCCTTGGCCTGGCCAGATCAAATTATTTCTCTGGGGCCCTGCAGGAGAGGATGGAAGATGTTGGGTGTTTTCACATTGATTTTCTGATAAAGGAGATATTCTCTTGGCTTCTGACAGATTACACCACAGAACACAGAGTGCCTGGGGATAGAGATGATCTAACAAAGAACTGAGGTCCTTTTATAACATTCTGAGTTGAGAAATCATGATACAAAAAGGCATTGTATCACTTTTTTATTTAATTTAAAGTGGAGCTAGGTTGTAAAATACAGCTTCTTAAGTACTATGGTGAGGCACTCCTGTGAGACAAAAATTGTAGAGGTAATGCATGAGGAAGCAACTGGGAGGCGATAATTGAAATAACAATTCCAAAAATGAGTATTAGTAGAAATTCAAGTTGATGTTGACTGTTGATAATTGTGAAATCTTGGAATATTATGTGGTGAAGCCTTCCATGTTTTTCAATATAAACAAAACAGGAAGAGTTGTGGTGTTGCTAGAGGAATTTTTTATTATTATTTATGTTTGCTATTTGATATTCATTTATCAGATGAAAAGGGAATTCATTGAACACTGTATTGTTTTTTGAGTGAGAGATCTGACCACTTTTCTTGGGATTCTACATCCATACAAAAGTCCATTAACTGTGAAATCACCTTTTGGTATAAGTATATCATACTAGATAATCTTTAGCTTGCAATGTAATGCCATATTTTCACTTTTGAATGCTAAGTCATGCCTGGCTATATTTACATCTAGAACAAGAGCAGCAGTTGGAATTTCTCTGAATTTAAAAAGTTCCAGTCTCTTGACTTCCTATGGAATCCAGATTGAGTATCTATCTATCTATTATATATAAAAGCCTGAGTGACTGTACAGCCGAATGACCCTTTGACCAGTTACTGTAATGCACACTGACCACCACAGGGCAGACGCTCAACGCAGGAGCTGCCCCTTGTGGTCAGTGCATTTCCACAGCGGGAGTGCTGCTCAACTGACTGACGGATGCCAGATGCTGGCGAAAGCAGCTGGGTAGAGTAAACCTCTCTCACCTCCACGACGGCGCACTGCGTGGTGGTAGTGGTGGTGGTAGTGGTGGTGGTGGTGGTGGTGGTAGTGGTGGTGGTGGTGGTGGTGGTGGTAGTGGTAGTGGTGAGGGTGGCAGGCACAGCAGGCGTAGCAGGGCAAGGATGAGCAGGTGCGGTGCCCAACCTGGGCTCCTTCCCAGCTGCCTGCCGCTTCATGCACTACTACATTCCTCAGGGGATGTTGAACTGCTGGCTTTGGCCCGATCCCCGTAGGCCAGGCCGAGGGACCCCACCTGCTGGAGGGACCCCGCTCACTTCGCAGACACCCTTTGAGTCCCAGTGTTGCTCCAGATGTGACCAAGGGAGGTTGGCTCCAGGGCGGGTCTGGCCCATCTCTCCCAGTCCGCTGACCACCTTCTAATTAATTTCTTTTCAATGTGCACAAATCCGGGCACTGGGCCTCTAGGTTTACAGAAATTCACTGACTGTCAAATGTTTTATTTAATTCTTCAGTTTCAGATTTCATCTCTTGACATAACTGCTGACATGTTTCACATCACAGCTTGCTATCATCAGATACATGTTTCCTCTTCATTAAAATAGTGTACTTGGAAGAGTGTCATCTGTGGATGAAGGGTCCTGGGTTCGAATCTGTCAAGGGCACGTACCTTGGTTGCAGACATGATCCCAGGGTGGAGACAACCAATCCGTGTGTCTCTCTCAGATCGATGTTTCTCTCTCTCCCTTCCACTCTCTCTAAAAATCAATGGAAAAATATCCTTGGATAAGGATTACAAAACCCCCATAATACTCTGCTCAGATACCAATGAAGAAGCTGTGGTCCTAGCAGCCCTCTAGATTCTAGACACACTTGATTTAATGACATTCTTAATAGCATAAAAAATTTTTTTACTATAGAGTGCAACTTTATTAAGTAAAGGCCCGGTGCGTGAAATTCGTGCACGAGGTGGGGGAGGGTTTATCTCTCAGCCTAGCCTGCACCCTTTCCAATCTGGGACCCCTCGAGGGATGTTCGACTGCCCTTTTAGACCCGATCCCAGTGGATCGCACATCCTTCTCACAATCCAGAACTGCTGGCTCCCAACTGCTCACCTGCTTGCCACTAACCACTTCTGCCTGCCAGCCTGATCACTCCCTAACCACTCCTATGCTAGCCTGTTTGCCCCCAACTTCCCTCCTCTGCTAGCCTGGTTACTCCTAACTGCCCTCCTCTGCAGGGTTTTTCACCCCCTGGTTCCTCTCAACTGCCCTCCCTTGCAGGCTTGGTATCTCCTAATTGCCCTCCCCTCCTTGCCTGATCGCCCACAACTGCCCTCCCTTGCAGGCCTGGTCCCTCCCAACTACCCTCCCCTGCTGGCCATCTTGTGGTGGCCATCTTGTATCCACATTTCCCAGAACCCACTTCCCAGTTTGTGAGTATAAGTTCTCTGCTGTAAGATCTAATTATTATGTATACCTATGGAAATGTTTGGAATAGAAGCATTGCTCTAAGGCATATCATCACAATATATTCTCCCATTGTTATGACACAGATTCTACAAAGATAGTCTGAGTTTAATATATGATATGTGATTATAATATATGAAAGAATGCTTTAAAGGTTGCTTAGTAGTTTATATTTTCATTAACCACTGATCTCTTTCCAAAGTTTTCAAAGTTGGGCAATAAGTCAGGGCACTAGTTGGCAAACTGCGACTCGTGAACCACATGGGGCTCTTTGGCGCCTTGAGTGTGGCTCTTCCACAAAATACCACGGCCTGGGCCAGTCTATTTTGAAGTGGCGTTAGAAGTTTAAGTTTAAAAAATTTGGCTCTCAAAAGAAATTTCAATTATTGTACTGTTGATATTTGGCTCTGTTGACTAATGAGTTTGCCGACCACTGACTCAAATTTTTTTTTTCTCTCTCAACTTTGCTTTTTTTACAGAGTTTGAACTCTTATACAAATGGAGCATATGGCCCACCGTACCCCACTGGCCCTGGGGCAAATACTGCCTCATACTCTGGGGCTTATTACACACCTGGTTATTCTCAGAATAATTACTCCACAGAGGTTCCAAGCACTTACCGTTCACCTGGCAACAGCCCAACCCCAGTCTCTGGCTGGATGTATCCCCAGCAGGACTGCCAGGCTGAAGCTCCTCCTCTTAGGGCGCAGGTTCCAGGGTATCCTGCACCACAGGTGAGCATTGTTCTGTTGGGTTTGCATTTTTTAATATTCTGTGAGTGATGTCATGTTTATTTCTCTGTTCACTTTAAAAGGAATTATAATATGTTGATAAAAGAAATATCCAAACCTGTGAAGAATTTTTATGAGTTTGAGCCAGACTGACAATTGCCAGGAAGCAAAATCTTAGTGGATATAAAAAATGCTTCAGAGAATGGCAGTTTTGTACCTTATTACATTAGAATCAAAGGAGGAGAACCAAGGAGGGTTACATGAGTCTACTGGTGGAAAATTGAGGAGGTGGGAGAAAGCAGAGTAAGGAAATTTCTAGGGTTGGATAAAGAGTAAAATGGAGAGACATACACTTTTTTCACATTGGTGGGTACAGGATAGTAAACAGTTAACTCTTCCGGAATGGAGAGCCAGTAAGTGGGAGAACAAGACAACAACGAGGGGTTCTGTCCTCTAGTTTTCTGGTGGAAGATTGTGCCCTGAGGGGTCTGGAAAAAGGGGATTACTCTGACATTCCAAAGGTATGTTATCATAGATGCAAAAAGGTAATAGACAGGCTCAGTTAAGATAAAGATTGGTCCTTGTCAAGGAAGATACTGGCCTAGGACATGACTACCTGCCAAGACTCACTTTTAGTTAGGAAGTTTTAATTTCAAACCATTACAAGTGGTTGGTCTCTGAGTTTGTAAGTCCCCCCATGCAGGCCTCCCTGAGCTTGTCAGGTTTAGTATGTGGCCCCTTTTTCATCCACAATATGTCTTTGTTTCTGCTTCCTTATAGAATATGGGTCTACTTATGGTACGTAGGGGCAAATTTACATTGTGTTTCAGACATTTAATTTTAGACCCTATTCCTTCTGAATTTGATCATCAGCAAATCTGCCCCTGGTATCTTTGGAACCAAGCTTTTTTAGGCTTGGAAAAATTGCTATAACTGAACAGAGATGCTACAGTTTAGCTCAGTATAACTAAAATATACTCTGTTAAGGAAAGAGGTAGTATCTCAGAATCTGTTAAAACTAGGATATTTTCATTACTTTAAAATTATTATTATTTTTTTTAGCAATGACCAGCATATTTTCTTCTTTTCAATCTAGAACCCTGGAATGACCCTGCCCCATTATCCTTATGGGGATGATAATCGTAGTGTTCCACAGCCAGGACCATCTATACGACCACAAGAGGACTCGTGGGCTTCTCCTGATGCTTATGGAATGGGAACCCGTTACCCCTGGCCTGCAGCTGCGCCCTCAGCACCACCTGGGAATCTTTACATGAGTGAAAGTACTTCACCATGGCCTAGCAGTGGCTCTCCTCAGCCACCTCCATCATCACCCCCCCAGCAGCCGAAGGTAGGAGACCTAAAGGTTGTTCCTTTGATGTTTGGGTGGTTAAGAAAGCACAGCATGAAAATCTTCTATTATACATTGGTTTATGTTAAGCGGGGACTAATTACTTAACATTGATGACTACTACCCTGTTTCCCCGAAAATAACACAGTGTCTTATATTAATTTTTTCTCCCAAAGTTGTGCTAGGGGATGTCTTATCTTTCCATGCGCTAGGTCTTATTTTCAGAGGATGTCTTATTTTCGGGGAAACACGGTACCTAAAGCTTTATCTAGCCCCAGTTTCCTTTTTTAAAAAAAAAACACCTTTTTTAGAGCAGATTTCTAAAAGAAACATTTCTAAAAGACAGCTCATTTACTGTTTGTTGTAATACTATTTAAACATTAAATCAAATCTTTGTATTTTATTATTTCAATCTATAGATAGAAGACAAAACCAATATGATTGGTTTTTCAAGATGTGCATTAAGGTTTTAATTTTTTTATGGGCAAAACTATCTAGTTTATATTTATTAAGTCATTCAGTGAAGGGTAGATTATGAAGTGTTCATGATGAACTACCCAGGTAGATTCTATCCATTATACTCAGGAATTCTCTGCCTTTTACTTGAGAGAGCACTCACTTTAATATTTTTAGGGCGGTGTTTTTCTCAAATCATTAATGAGGGAGGTCCAGTATAATTGGTGAGGAATCTTTTCATGTACCTTCCTGATCAGGTAAAAGATGTGTTCTAACAAATTTGATGTTAATGGATTACCATTAAAACGGCTTTCTCCCCCTTTGCCCTCCCACCTCAAGGATTCCTCATACCCCTATAGCCAATCAGATCAAGGCATGAACCGGCACAACTTTCCTTGCAGTGTCCATCAGTATGAGTCCTCGGGAACAGTGAGCAGTGATAATTCAGATCATTTGGATTCCCAAGTCCAGTATAGTGCTGAGCCTCAGCTGTATGGTAACACCACCAGTGAACATCCCAGCAATCAAGAGCAAAGTAATAATCTTCCTGAAGAGTGTTTGCCTTCAGATGAAGGTACTCCCCCAAGTATTAAGAAAATCATACAAGTGATGGAGAAGGTCCAATATCTTGACCAAGAAGTAGAAGAGTTTATAGGAAAAAAGACAGACAAAGCATATTGGCTTCTGGAAGAGATGCTAACCAAGGAACTTTTGGAACTGGATTCAGTTGAAACTGGGGGCCAGGACTCTGTCCGACAGGCCAGGAAAGAGGCTGTTTGTAAAATCCAGGCCATACTGGAAAAATTGGAAAAAAAAGGATTATGAAAGGATTTAGAACAAAGGGGAAGCCTGTTACTAACTTGACCAATACTCCTGATTTGGGTTATTTACCCTCTTTTTGAAATGCCTGTTGATGACAAGAAGCAATACATTCCAATTTTCCTTTGATTTAAAACTTGAAAAACTGGTAAAGGACTTGGAAAAACATTTTCATTATGAATTGTTTTCAGTTTTCAGACGAATGAATGTAATAGGAAACTTTGGAGTTACCAATATTGCAAAGTAGGCTCACTTCCTAAGAGATTTATGGATATCTGCAAGCTGTTTCTTATCAGCAGGAGGGAAATACACTTTATGTAACAGGCTTATCAGAAACCTACCAGATGAGACTGGATAAAATCTGAGACAAACAGGTTTTTTAAAACATCTGGATTACTTGTCACATTTTTGTACATTGTGACTGCTTTCAGCATACACATCGTGTAATTACAGCTTGGACGTTAGCTTTGTGGGACCTCTGATTTGTTTTGTTATTGCAATTCACAAATACAGTATTCTTCTCTACTTCTTGGTACGTTTTGTAGTAATATGTTTAATATAATTATTCAAGAGACTCTATTGACAGCCAGATAGTATGGTATTTCTGAATGAATTTATATCTTTTCACCATTTGAATATATTGCAATGTGTAGTGAGTTTCTGAGATAGTCTCCTTTTTTGTATAGATCATTAGGTTAGAGTTTTACCGCTTCTACTTCTCATGTTAATAGCAGAAGGCGATTTGGAAATGGCATGGGCATATAAATGAAAATATTTGTGGCCAATTTTTCTTTGTTGCTCTTTCATTGTATTTGGATAAAGATACACCTTATAATTTTTTTAAATCTTTTTTTTAATATATATATTTTATTGATTTCTTATAGAGAGGAAGGGAGAGGGATAGAGAGCCAGAAACATCGATGAGAGAGAATCATCGATCAGCTGCCTCCTGCACACCCCCTACTGGAGATATGCCCACAACCAAGGTACATGCTCTTGACTGGAATCGAACCCCGGACCTCTCAGTCTGCAGGCCGACGCTCTATCCACTGAGCCAAACTGGCCTCGGCAAGATTCACTTTAAAATTTCCGTTTCCTCCCCTTAATTATCTTTTTACTAGTGCTGCTTCCATATGCAGCATTGTGATAGGTACATGAAAAATTAAATGCCACAGTAGGTAGAAATAACTGTAAAAGTAATAAACTATTTGGAAATGCTGTTCTTCACCTAAAAAATTAGTTTCACCATCAAGATCCCTATAAGCAGATTTCAGTTCATTTTATATTAAAAAACAATGAGGGTAAAGAGAATTCATTCATGCTCAGGGAATGAATCAGCCATAGTAAGAGTGAGAAATATTTTTTTTTCTTTTAAAAGTAAATTTGATGTTTATTTCTCTAGAATAAATTGCATAGAAAGTATTGTCTGTTTTATAAAATGATGCTTATTACCACTAAAAACAATAATTTTAGAGCCAAATTTAAGAAGGAATATTGAAAAGGATCTTATCTGGGCTTTCTTGGGTAGTTCTATGCTATCTTATAGAAGACTTAGGTAAATAATTTACTTTTCACACCTGAAGTGACTTTTAGTAAACAGTATCTGTTATTGGAAAAACAGATGTTTCTTAATAAGATATCCAAGTGATAATGTTTTGTTTGTTTTTTTTCTAGATTGCCAGGCCTATTAATGATAATAAGTCTGTCTGCTATCCTTGTTATTAAAAAAAACACACAAAAAAAAACACAACACAACAAAACCAATCCTATATAATAAAAGCCTAATGTGCAAATTGACTGGTCGGAAGACATGCACTGACCATCAGGGGGAAGATTCGCAATGCAGGAGCTGCTGCCTGATGGTCAATGCATTCCCACAGGGGGAGCACTGCTCAGCCAGAAGCTGGGCTCATTGCTGTGAGTGCAGTGGAGGTGGCAGGAGCTTCTCCTGCCTCTGCAGCAGTTGGACATCCCCCAAGGGCTCCGACCAGGCTGAGGGACCTCCCCTCCCCAGTGCACAAATTTGGTGTACTGGGCCTCTAGTAGAAATGTAATTGATTATAAGAAAAAATGGAATAAAAATAATGGCTGGGTCTTACAGTTGGGTTGAGTGATTTTATGAGGTAATGTGGTGATAATTTTATTCTAGGATTTTTATTTTTGGCCTAATATAGGAATTTTTAAAAAGGCTTTTTAATGAAAATTAGAAAATTGTACTTGAAACAAAATTTAGAAGAGGGGGGACCCTTAAAGCTAAGTTAACATAAACAAGTGAGACAATGAATAATTCAGCAGAGAACACTACGATTTAACTGAGTGCCCAAGATACCAATTTCCATTGTTCTGATTTATGCATATATACATATATATATATTATGCACATCTATAAATATGTATGTATGTTTTTTAAGTTATTTTTTTTAATTTTCAGGTAATTTTAGATCTCCTGAAGAGTTGTAAAAATAGTATTTTCTGTATACTCTTCACTCAACTTGCTCTCTGATAACACCTTTTTAAAAATTTTAAATTTATTGGGGTGACATCAGTCCCCTTCTGTTAACATCTTACATAACCATAGACCATTTGCCAAAGTAAGAAATTTGCCTTGACACAATACTATTAAAGAGTTTAAAAAGTAGAGATTTTCTTGGAGTTTTCACTAATGTACTTTTTACTTAACTGTTCCAGGATCCAATCTAGGATTCCACTTTGCATTTAGTTGTCAGTGTGTCTGTAGGATCCTCCAACCTGTGACAACATATTATGACACCTGATGTTGTAATGTATTTCTGGTGTTGTAATCTTAATCTCTACCCAAAGTGGTGTCTGTTAAGATTCTCTACTGAAAATTACTTTCTTTTGTAGTTACTAAATATTTGCTGAAGATACTTTGAGACTATGCAAATGCCCTGTTTCTGCTTAAACCTTTGCCCACTCATTTTGGTATCCATTGTGAATCTTGCTTGTGTTGTCAATTACTACTGTGGTCTAATGGTGATTTTCTCTTTCTCTCATTCTACATTTATTGGTTGGAATTCTTCTGTAAGGAAGGGATAGTACTTCTGGATTTGTATTTTTTAATTATAGCAAAATATTCAGGATAAGTACAAACTTAGAACTTAAAGATGTAAACCTTATTAAATTGATTCCAAATACCAATATCAGAGAAAGGAAAACTAAATTGGTAACCTGTTTCAGAAAATATAATGAACTTATGAAGGAAAGTAGTATTGATGAGTTGTGAATTTGGTTCAGTTTTTGACTTAGTATTGACTCTAGACTGAATTCAAAATTTTCTTGAAATTTCACATCTGGACTTTTATAAAGTGTGTAAATTTATATTACTTTGAGGATAATTTTTGTCAAAATCTTGAATAAAGTTATCGAGCCTTGGCATGTTAAATACAACTGTCTTTTTTTTATTTTTATAATAAGCAACTGTTGTTCCAAGTATAAACACTAATATGAATATTAGAAAAACAAGCACTAATGAAATATCTGGGGAATGCATTATGCTTGTCTCTACATTTTTGGTGTGAATTCTTTGAAATGATTTTTAAAATAGAGTTTTAAAAATACTTCTTTAGTTGGTTGATGTAATACTATTAAAGACATGCAGATTTTTAAAAAATAATTTTTTAAAAGCATTGGATTTTTAAATTATTGATTTTTTAAAAGGGAGGGAGGGAAGAAGAGAGAGAAATATTGATTGGTTGCCTCCTGCAATGCCCCTACCTCGACCTGGGGATTGAACCCAAAACCTGGGTATTTGCTGTGACTGGGAAGCAAACTCACCATCTTCTGGTGTTCTGGACAGTGCTCAACTAACTGAGCCGCACTCGCCAGGACTGTGCAGATTTTTTTTAAAAAAGTTTAAGAATATAGATTAAATTGGCATTTTAAAAAAATTTTCTGGGTATGGATAGTTGATGAGTGGATTTTTTTCTTTTTCATCTTTCTAAAAGCTGAGTTAAAAAAAATCAAATAATTCTATGGAAGTTATGATTTTAAAGAATCAGCCGAAACCAGTTTGGCTCAATGGATAGAGCATCGGCTTGGGGACTGAAAGGTCCCGGGTTCGATTCCGGTCAAGGGCATGTACCTTGGTTGCGGGCATATCCCCAGTGGGGGGTGTGCAAGAGGCAGCTGATTGATGACTCTCTCTCATCGATGTTTCTAACTATCTCTCTCCCTTCCTCTCTGTACAAAATCAATAAAATATATTTTTTAAAAAAAAAGAATCAATTCTTCTGCTTCCACTCCCATTTTTTATTCTGCAAAAGCAACCACTTTCAATTGAGTTTTTAAAAAATTATTTTCATATTTTTCAATAACTTTTTCTTGACTTATGAATTTTAGGTCATATCTACTGATTTTCTCTTATAGAGGAAAGTTTAGGTTGACTTCTCTGCCCATAACATACACACGTATCAGTCCTCATCCCCTCAACTTTCAATCTAGGTATATGGTAATTTTGTTGACTATGGAAATGATAACCAGAGCTTAGTCATGTAGTAAACTGTGATTACTTTAACTTTCCTGAACAACTTGTTTTCCCTGGAATTAATAATTTATCTTTTTTATTTTGTTTGCTTATATACTTATGATTAATTTGACCCCAAACCATCCACCACTTATCTAAGTCTTCTCTTAGGAAGCATGACATAACTAGAGCCTTCTGATTGGAGAACTAATATGTTCCTGGTGTATACTTTCATTCTGGGTCTTCTGCTCAAACTGTTTCCTTTTTTTATGTAGCCTTTCTCTTAGTTTATTTCCTCATTTTCATAGAGCTGCTTCTTTAGTAGCTTCCTGGGAAAAGGTGCATGGCTATATCTTGCATATTTGAAAATGTGTTCTCATGATCCTTTGTATAAAATCCAATTTTCCTCTCAAGAAGCTTTTTGTATATTTTTGTCCCCCCTCTTCTGAAATTTCCCAAGGTATAGCTTTGGTGTGGGTCTGTTTTTCTCTCTTTTCTGGGCATATTTCATTCTGGAAACACATGCCCTTAAGTCTTAAGAATTTTTGTTGTTGTTGTTGTTCAAGGATAATATATTGCAAACCTTGCTGCAATGTCACAATCATATTGACATTCAGATAGTCAAGATATAGAACAATTCCATCATCACACTTTTTCCTCTTGACTTTTTAAAAAAATATATTTTATTGATTTTGTACAGAGAGGAAAGGAGAGAGATAGTTAGAAACATCGATGAGAGAGAGTCATCATCGATCAGCTGCCTCTTGCACACCCCTGGGGATATGCCCGCAACCAAGGTACATGCCCTTGACCGGAATCGAACCCGGGACCTTTCACTCCCCAAGCCGACGCTCTATCCATTGAGCCAAACCGGTTTCAGCTCCTCTTGACTTTTTACAGGCACACGTGCTTCTTTTTTCCACCCCTGGTAACCACTAACCTCTTCTCCATTTATAAATTTTATCATTTCAAGAATGTTATGTAGTAGAATGGTACATTATGTTAACATTAGAGATTGGCTTTTCCCCCACTCAGCATAATTCTCTTGAGATTTAGCCAAGTTGTTTCCTGTATCAGTACTTTTTTTTATTGCCAAGGAGTTAGTCTGAGATACAGATGTAGCACAGTTTAACCATTCACCTGTTGAAGGACATCTGGGTGGTTTCCAGTTTGAGGTTCTTATAAATAAAGCTCCTTTTATGTATATTCATGTACAGGTTTTTGTGGGACATAGTTTTTGTTTCTTTGGGATAAATGCCCAGGAGTGTAAATTCTGGGTCATATGATAGTTGCATGTTTAATTTTTAAAGAAACTACCAAACTTTCCTAGTGTGGCTATTAGCATTTTACATTTTCACCAGCAATGTATGAATTTCTCTGTATCCTTGCCATTATTTTTTTAAGCCATTCTGAAAATGATATCTAATTGTGGTTTAATTTGCATTTCCTTAATAGTTAATGATGTTGAACATCTTTTCATGTGTTTATTTGCTATCTGTGTATTCTGTTCCAAAAAATGCCTGTGCATGTCTTTGCCCATTTTCTAACTGGACTTATTTTAATAAACTTATTTTAGAATATTTAAATTTACAGAAAAATTATGATATACTATAGACTTTCAACTTTACTTTTGTAGATTTGTTACAATTAATGGACCATATTAATACATTTTTAAAATCTAAAGTCAGTACTATATTCAGATTTCCTTAATTTTTACCTAACATCCTTTTACTCTTCTAGGTTTCCATTTAGGATACTACATTACATTTAGTCATCACATCTCCTTAGAAGCCTCTTGGATGTGACAGTTTCTTAGACTTTTCTAATTTTTAATTTTTTAAAAAAATATATTTTATTGATTTTTATACAGAGAGGAAGGGAGAGAGATAGAGAACCAGAAACATCGATGAGAGAGAGTCATCGATCAGCTGCCTCTTGCACAACCCCTACTGGGGATGTGCCCGCAACCAAGGTACATGCCCTTGACCGG